ATTTATTTATTAAATTTCTTAACTTCTTAAGAAAATGTTGTGAATTTGGCCCCTGGGTGGTTACCTACCACTTTAAAATCTGTCCTTCAATGTCTTTCACCCATTTTATCATCAGCCAGGCCAAAATTGTAAGTCAGATCACTTAGTAATAGCACACCTCCCCTCAACAAGCTGCATAATTTGATTTACACAAAAGAGATGCTGTAGCTTTTATGGCTTGTCGCTTTGTCTTGTTAGGACACGTTGTAATACTCGGGGCTGGGGTTTGTTGAAATCCCCAAGCACAAGTGTATGCAATAAAAATAGTGATGCTTGACTTAACAAACATCATTAATATTCGCAAACACAAAATAATAAAATATAAAACATACAACCAAGCCATGCGTGATAGTGAGAAGCTATGGTTTGCAATCACAAGAACATCCGTGTTTCTGAAGCTTTAAACAGGGCCATAAAGACAAAAACATCTGTCATCCTTCTCACTAGTGACCGCAGTATTCACTGACAGCCAAAAAGCCTTTAAAGCCGCTGCAACAATTCTTCATAAATTGGCTTGGCAGTCTATCTTCTGATCTCCAACTGGTTTCAGATTCTTTATTTTTGGATTAGATTTGCTACGCCACTTCTTCAATTAAAGGATAACTGTTGCTGATTTTCTGGAGGCAGAGAAAGAGAGAGAAAGAGACTCACAATCTGTTTCTCATTGAGGCCTCCACTGCTGTAGGTTGTGGCGAGGGTGGACGAACAGGCCTCGCTGTACCAGGGCACGTTGCCGTTCTGCGTGCTGCTGCTGATCGACAGCGTGTAGATGCTATTGGTGTAGCCGTCGCAGTTGCAGCTGTCCTTCTCTCGGCCGCCATTCCCCGAAGCCCACACAAAGATGGAGCCCCGTCCTCCGCGGCCCTAGAATTCGGGAGAAGAAACACACAGTCAGTCAAAATTGCTGGCATCTCTGTTCATGCAAGCCCAATCTAATGCCGTTAAGACGTTGAGAGCCAGATGCGAGCGCTGTGCTGCAAAGTCTGAAATGGGAGAATTACCAATGACAGTACTCAAAACAACTGGATAATATTTGTTATGAGTGGAGTTTGGAAAGGATTGTCTCCCAGAAAGGATTTTCAAAGTGTCATGGACTATTGAAGCACTATCATGGTTTCAATTGCTGGGCCAGATGCTTTTAAAAGGACCTTGTGGGATGGCGCTAATGTTCGCAAGTCATTAATCATGCATGTTTATTTTCAGGCACAAATGAAAGACGCAAACAGCACCGGGATTTTGCGGTCTACTTCGCAGATGAAGCGCAGTAAAGCAATAGCAAACTGTCAGAACCGATAATGAACTCGTGAAAAATACACGCATCGCATTAACGAGGCATGTTTGAATAACCGCGTGACTTTCGTTTCACCATGTCGCCATAAGGAAAGGCTAACAGTGCAAATAATTTGAGTCAGATGCTGTTTGCTTGTTACATTTGATCGTTGCTTTTTTATACGGTGCTTTACTGTATCTTACAAATTTGAACAATGCACCAAATAAAAGTCTGCAGGAGAAAATAGCGTACTGAGAAAGTCTGCAGTGCAAAGTTTGGCTGCGTCTTTGAGAGTTCGCTCTCTGTTACAGCACACACCTGCTTGATTGTGGGCATCTATTCAGCGAGGTTGTTTACACAGACCACAGCCCCATTTGCATTGGCCTTCTCCACGCAACATGGATCTTGTTTCCCAAACAAATCTGACTGCTGGCACGTGTGAACGCTCATGATTTGGACACCAGAAACAATGGCTAGAAAATATGGATAGGGAAAAATACAAAGCTAGTCTGTGTAATCAGTTCAAGTTTATTTTTTATTTTTTGGTCCTTGTCACTTATTTATAGGAACAGTGACAGGGAAATTCTTACTGCTCTCACCATCTGTTCTTTTAAAAGAACAACCCAACATAATTCAGTAATTTTAATGTGATCACTCATATTTGGAACCAATTATGCACAAAGCATCTATGCTACAGATCTATGCACCAATGCTATGCATCTATGCTGTGCTATGGCATAAAAAAGTCATAAAAAGTAGTATTAAGTCACCTAACATCTACTTAAAACATTATAATTACTGGTTACTGCAAAAGCATAAATAAATACCTATTATTATTAGTGCTGTCAAACGATTAATCGCGATTAATCGCATTCAAAATAAAAGTTTTTGTTTACATATGTGTGTGTGTACTGTGTATATTTATTATGTATACAAACACATGCATGTATATATTTAAGAAAAATATGTAGTGTTTATATATTAAATATATGTATGTATAATATAAAAGATAAGAATATAAATATATAAATGTATATACATGTAAATATATATATATATATATATATATATATATATACTCTGTGTGTGTTTATATACATAATAAATATACACAGTACACATACATACATATATTATGTAAACAAAAACTTTTATTTTGAATGCGATTAATCGTTTGACAGAATTATTATT